ACCTCTGACAAAGACCAACGATTTCTGCAGTAATTAATGATACTGTCAAATTAATTAACCCATCTCTGTCCACAGGAAAACCCCCTCGGATGTCCGCCCTGCTGTTTACGAGTCCTTGACCACACTCTACCGCCCGAATCTTTACTCAGGACGTGGGGACACCACTGACTGATGACCCTCATAAGGCCCCACACCTATTTAGACACCACCATTTGTTAGTAAAACCTTCTCCCAGGAACAGATCCTTCGGTAATATGACTTTGGTGAATTAACAGCTCTCCAAAGTCGAACACTATTTTCAATAGCTACCAGCCTGGGAATACCAGGGCACCACTCCGATTCTCCACCTTTCAGACGCCCTTCCGAAGCGTGGGGATGGAACATTAGACACGGGCTGCGGGGCTCGTTTACCATTTAATAAATGGCCCCCATTCGAACGCTTGCTCTCTTGTCCTTGTCTAGGAGGACTCCAACTCATCCACATGCCCACGTCTACATTTCCATATTATCTCTGTAGAGGGTTCAGAACTATTTCCTTACACCTAACGCAGCTTTTATTCCATTTAGAATAATTACCCTCCATCCCGCTTCTGACTTTCAAGAAAAACAAGAACCTTAATTGACCACAGGAGGACTCTCTCAGGGGCATCGCTGCGGAAGCGCTGCCGTGAGCTCACAGCTTAAGCTGATGTAATCGGCTACGAGAAGCTGGCTTCTATTTTTAAACTACACCCTTTCACTCTGCCTTCAAAGAGCACATATATCACACGTTGTAACTGCTCATAAAATACTTCACGGTGTAGCCTCGGGTCCATTTCCCTTCCCGGGGTGAGTCACGCTGTCAGGAGGGGCTTCCTTCGGCACCCGGCCGCCCTGCCCACTCAAGGTCATCCACCGTTTCCTACCACGATTTGGTTTTTAGGAGAATAGCTACATATGGCCACTCTCCAGGTGTCTTGTTTATCACGGTAATTCTGACAAGGAACAGATGACTAGCAGGGTTCTCCTTGGGGGCCGGGAGCAAGCTTTTCCACCTCTTCCGTATTTCCAGCCCCAAACACAGGCACTGGCTACATGCTTATTAATGTTGCTGCCGAGTGCTCTGTCATCGGCCCCTGCGCTTCAAAGCGCGCTGGAATGGAAACAGATTATTTACTCTGTTTAGTTTTAAGTTTTTCATTCGTCATTGCAGTCAGGCTTACCCTGTGCTATTCAAAAAGTTTTTTTAGCATTTGGAAAACACTATGAAAACAGTCTTGATAGGATGCGAGGGTACACTTGACCGTGCTGTTTATTTATTTGTACTTTTTCTGCTCATCTCTAATAAGAATGAAGAGCTCAGCAATTAAAGTGCTGCTAGGACAGAGTCTGGGGAAGGTCAGGACAGTCTATTTCTTGGGCTACTGCTCATTCCACGAGCACCCCACGTCTTGTGGGGTTCATCCAGAAGCCTCCCCGCAGCCCTCCTGGACTCAAGGCCTGTGTTCTCCATATTAAAATCTGGGTGAGCTACCGGTAATATAGATTTAGACATGCCCTTCCCTGTCTCAAACCCTTCCATCTCTCCCCCCGCCACCCCGCCAGTGCTCTAAGACATGTCCCTCAGCTCTGCTGACCTTTGCGGCCACCTGCTCTGGGCACTGCCATTCCCACATCCACGGTACCTTCCCTGGCTTTCAGGTCCTTAGAAGTGCTTTCACCTAAAGGCTTTAATCCAAGTTGCTTCCTCAGCCTAGAGCTCTGCTCTGCTGTCCCCACTCCCTGCACCCAAGTCCTTCTCACTCCCCCTTCACACCTTGTTTAGATGCCACTTCCTCCAGGCAGCCCTTGTGGGTGGCAGCAGGGGCTACCTCAGACAATGGTCCAATGTACTGCACTGTGTTTACCTGCTCCATCCCCAAGTGACTACACATGATAGGAAGCCAGGGATCATGTCTGTATCCCACCTGTGGCCCAGCATGCAGTGGGGCTTCAACAGCATTGGTGAGATGAGTGAATGAATGAGTGAATGCATACTGAAGGCTGCAATCAAGGGATCCCATCTGTGAGGTATGAATTAGAATTCTGTCTCCTCAGAAAGTGCAAACTCAGCAGAAACTATAGCAAAATACTACATTAGTCCAAGATTCATCCGTTGAACTGCAGCAGTGGCAGGAAGAGAGTCTGGGGAGACTGAAATCCACCCCCAGGCAGTTCCCCCCTGAGGAGCCACCGGCAGCTCCACCTCCCACCCAAAGGACTCAGAATTAACACTTCCATGAGAGATTAACAAAGGTCTGTTTAACATCGAATCCTAACTGGGACGAAACACAAAAGCTTGCTCGAAGTTAAATTCCATGTTATGAACTCCACATGAACGGCAAACTCCACAATTTAAATTCATTCCAAAGATAGCAGCAAGGTTCAAACTAACAATGCTACTTCTCACCTGCAAACCCACACATGTCTGTTTCAGAAATATCTGAAGGTCGGTTGCATGTGATGGGCATGTTCTGGAGGTTTGAGAAACATGTTTCTGGCAGCTCCAGCTCAATGGCTGAAATCTGGCCATCGGCATCAGTAGGAACTTGGGGACGCCGGGTGTGGGACTGGCCATGGGGCACTAAAGAGAACCAGTCCAGTTTCTGTCCCTATGGAGAGTCCAGCCTCATCAAATATATACTTGCATTTGACTTCTTAAAAAAATTCTTTTCTACCCTGGCCAGGTGGCTCAGTTGGTTAGAGCACCATTCCATACAGCCAAAGGCTGCAGGCTTGATTCCTGGTCAGGGCACATCCCTCGGTTGCGGGTTTGATCCCCAGTCAGGGTACCTATGAGAGCAACTGATCAATGTTTCTCTCTCACATTGGTATTTCTTTCTCCCTCTCTTTCTTTCCCGTACTCTCTCTCTAAAATCAAGAAACATATTCTCTGGTAAGCATGAAAAAACATTCTTTCCCTAAATCCTAAGTACACCATGTTCTGCTGTTAAATGAAACCCAGAACACATGGGACCTGGGTGAGGCATCACTTTGGCTACTTCTCTATGGCAAAGAAGTTTTTTCAACCATATTTTCCAAAATCTACAGACTGATGACAGTAAAGAGTGGGTAATGTTTCAACATTCAAACCAAATGACGAAGGGCTCGGTTTGTATTTCATCCTCACACAGCTAGCAACCACCTTCCAACACAAAACAAAACAAGCAAACAAAAGAAATACAATTCCACATGAAAGTCTCCAGCCTTCCAGAACAAGTTTACTTTTATTATCTGGCACAGAGAATGTGTTCAATAAATGTTCGTTGAATGAATAAATCACAGGAGAGGAATTACTATGAAAATGTCCTTTTTAATTTTAGGTATGTTCTTCAACTTCCCTTTTTTTTCTCTTAGGAAAAAAAAATCTATGCACGATTTTCTGGGATTTTGGCTTTCATTTCACTGTCTAACCCTGAGGTAGTCACTTCAGATAGGCACTATTTTCTTCACCCATAAAATGAAATCTGCGTCGTGGTTATTTTGAGGCTCCAAGGATGCACGGTTGTAAAGCTGCAATGTTGTATCTGTGGGGTGTAATGCCCACAGATAGTGTTGAGAGTGCCCTGCCTTTTCTTTTTTTAACTCCTCCAGTCCATCCTCGATCCTCCCCAACTCCCAGATAAAGCATCCAAGGCAAACCCAGTTATGTGCCTGATAAGAAAGGCAGGGAAGCCCGGCCTCAGCAACACCTAGCTACCAACTCTTGAAAAGTTTTATTTACTATGTCGGGGCTCTGGTTTTCTCTTTTATAGAACGAGTGAGTCTCACTCGCTCATTTATGAAAGGGATTTTTGGTTCTAATTTCCCATGAGCTCAGAGGCCTGCCTCGCCAAGCAGTTAGACGCTGCTAACACATTAAGGTCATCCATGATCAGAAATAAAATGGGCTCTGATTTCCTTCACTGAGGGGGATTCTAAATCACAAACAAGAACCCAACTTGACTTTTAGAAGAATTTGTATGAATCTAATATCTAGGTCAAGAATTGGTGACCTGACTCTTAAGCAACAGCAGGTCTCTCCTCCCCCCGCACACCCCCACCCAACACGTCCACCTCCTGTGTACCGGCAGGGCTTCCCATGCACAACAGCTCTGCAATGGTGTACTTAAAAAGAAATCTAGAAATTTCAAGCAATATCATTGAATCATTTGAAAGGAGTAACGACAGTTGATACAATATTATGTGAAATCTAACATTTGCTTTATAATTTTTCTTTCTCACCCTGAAATATATCTTAAGTCAACCAAACAAAGAACCCAAGACTGCATACACAACAAAAATCTCACTGCACTTTCATAAACACTAAGTGCACAACTGCCACCTAGTGGTAGAATGTATCCTTGTTTGAATGAATCTCCAAACAGCTAATCAGACACAACTAATTAAAAAAACCAAGGAAACACTGTTCTCTGCTGCTCACTAGTTATTTCAGGGAAATTTAGGAGCATACATACACATCTCCTCAGCTATGTATTTTCCTCGGACAAGTTTCTGAAGAGACCTATTTTGGATGGAGTCAATGGCCAAGATTTAATCCTACAATTAAAACTTACTGCTTCTGAACCAATTCACAAAAGAGCATTATTATTCTATTAATTTTAATATTCATTAGCAATTGAAAAAAGATTTCCACAATAGCCCATTCACCATCCACTTTCATTTGATCTAATCTTGATTAGTTATGCATGAAAAAGCATTTAAAAGTGACAATCTTACAAAAAGTGCAGGTTATATGAAAATCTGACTTCAATTAGAACCAGTAACTGAATCCCAGCAATCTCCAGCTGTCTCTTTGCTCTTATCCTTAAGAGAATTATGGATTACATTAATTGGTATTCTGTCACATAAAAAGACACCAGCGATGATTAATTGCGTCCTTGGTGCTTTTGAGTTATGTCTTCTCTGGTAGAGGGACTGAGATCACACCTCCTGACCTTCCAGCAGGTGCCCCCTGTGGTCCCCCTCATCGAGTCTCCTACCTTCCTGAACTTCTCCATTTGCTTGTAGAGATCTGGATCGAGCTCCTGAGACACGTCCTTCATCCACAGCAACGCCCCTCTGTACTCCGTCCGGCACTGCTCCATGCGGTTCACCGTCAGCCAGGTGTCTGAGATGGCCCGATGCCGAAAAGTCTCCACTTCTTGGTGAAATCGACACAAAGGGTTTCGCAAGGCCAACCTAGACGGTGGATAAAGCCCCAGTCTTGAAATTCGGTGCGCTAGCAATTGGAATCATGGACAATTTACGTCTTAAACATAGGGGCCTAGCACCATGCCCAGAAAACAGACAACGTTATAGAAATGTTTGGTGAGTTATCACTGAAATGTGAATGGATGAGTCAACCAGGGATGATTAGCCATGTGCTCATCTCTTAGGTTACTGCTGCTTCCCTGCATTATTGGGAAGTCTTTCCATCAGTATTGTTGGGTGTGGCCTGGTGCCTGGGCAAAGAGTACTCATTTGAAGCTGGAACCAATCCTGTGTGACTGGAGAAAGGCCAGGGACTGACCATTTCCCATGTCTACTCTGGGTGTCCCCCTGCCCACTGCTCCTCTGAAGCCCGGCCCTTTTTAAGTAGGGATGACCTGTGTGTGTGTGTGTGTGTGTGTGTGTGCGCCACCGTGGATGGCTCTCCAAAGGCCTGGGCATCTGCTCCTTGTTCCAACAGTCAGAGGATGAAGCACAAGCAGAAGCATGTTTAAATGGCCTGGGAAGGGGAAGCAGCGAATGCCGTAGGGTTTCCTGTGTTAGGCATTTTCAGACAGGATCTGCGATTTGATCCTCATGAAAAAACGAAACTCAAGGATACTACACCAGACATGAAAGTATATCATACAATGGAATGGGTGTAAAATAATCATAATATTGGTCATACCATACCATCATTGATTCAACAAAAAATTAAAAATAAAAATAATAATGCTTGATGCATCTCAAACTTTGAATAAAATGTGTACTCTGGGTGGGGGGCAATATGCAGCTCTTTGCCTCTTCTTACCCCAAACAGTAACATCAGATGAATTGCACTCTTAAAAAACAATAGTCATCTGCGTGAAGTTGCAAGGCAAAGTTTCAAAAAATAAAAATAAGATGCATATTTACGTTTCAGTTTAAATGTAAACTTGTCTCGCTGGGACAATGTTGTCCATGAGCTGAAGTCAGCCCTGGGCCGCTGTACCCCATCGGCCATGCCTCTCACGTGTATAGCACGGTAAGATTAGGGGAACAGCCATACACCGTTTAAGAAAAAAAAAATCCCTTTTAGTATTTAGGTTTTCTGCCTATAAAGCACTGTATTTAAGTATTCAGCACTTCTCTGAAAACACTTTGTGCACATTGTCCTACCCAGGCGTTGCAAGTTGTTTTCAAAGACACATTGTGCCATAAAGTAGCCTGTGCTTCATCACCACTGGGTGAAATTTAATACCACTCATCAAACTTGAACGAGCAGTTGTGGCAGCGACCACCAAGTGAAACAGTAACACAAATGCTAGTGTGGAGGTTTATAAAATTGAAGACTTGAAAGGGAGAAAGAGTCCTCAGCAGTTCCCCTAAGGATCCTGTTTATTTCTGGACTCTTTCTTTCGCTTCCCTTGGATTTTGCCACCTTTCCTAAGTGGCCGAAAAGAGTCTTGTGAATAAAACACTGTCCATTTCTTTGGCTGTTGGCAAGGTAGACCCAAACTTGTAAAGATGTAATGGCAGAGCGATAGAGTTGAACATCTTGAAGAGGAGAAAAAGGCACATAAAAGCACCTCATTTTTTTCCCGTCACTTGCTGCATGTAAGATGAGAAAGGCGAGCACTTCTTCATGTGTGGTACCAGGGACTGAGTCCCGACCCAGGGAAAACTCGGGACCCGGAACCACCCAGCTGCAGTGAAAGACTGAGCCATGTTTTCATTCATGAAAATCTACCCGATGGGAATAATTAATACGCTGCCTTACGGGTCTACTCCAGAGGCATTTATCCTGCGGTGGGTAGTGCATGGAAGGTCTCGGGCGCCATGTATTATGGCATGCCAGGATGATGAAATATTGCTACAAATATTTTTAAAAAATGTATATATAGGCATAAAAGGTGGTTAGTGCTATCTGATCAGCAAAACCAATTTGCTAAATAATGCAATACTATCCAAAAACTGTATGGCATGATGATTATGTTAAAAACAAATTCTGGCATATCCCAAAATATGTCCATTCAAGGGCTGAGAATTAACATCATGAGAGTGGATGTAATCCTCCTCCTCCTAGACGTTCAGGAGGACTGGCTGCGAGTTCACGTGCCTGGTGAGCAGCCGAGCGCCACGAAAGCAGAGGCGTCCTGCCGGAGGCCACCTTCCAAACTGCAGAATATTCCACACTGCATTGATCACGGACATAGGACAGGGTGCTAGTCTATAGCAGCGATGCTTGCATGTATCATCTGCATTGTTTTTATTGATTTCTTTTACTGTTTGCATCTGTATCCAAAGGTTAGCTTATATAAATTTAAGGTACCAAAGGTGTGCTGTGTGAGATAATTTGGTATACGCGTGTGAAAGGGTAGAAAAGGGTAGACTGGTGAACCATATTATAAAGTAATCATGGCATCGGTAATGGGACCTTTTGTAGTGATGCGTCCCAGAATTTAGTGGTGTGTTGCATAAATGGATGCTAATTTTGGCATGGGGGTCTACATAAGAATTTTCCCACTGAAATTAGTAATGATTATCTGTTTACTATGTGAGAATATATGACTGATTTTTCAAGAATCAATTACCCTTTTAAGGCTGTGGAAAGCATATATGATAGAAAGTACCAAAGGGTTAAAAGTGGATCATCTCTGTTAAAATTTTAGTTGTTTTTGAATTCTGCCCTTTGGGGTTTTCTTTGTTTTTAAATTTTTCTGGAATGAGTAAGTATTATTTTTGTAAGAAAAACAGTTATAATAAGATTAAAAGGTGTAATTCAAGATTATAAAGAAACTTTTCTTGGAAAACTGGGGTAAAGATCTATCAGCAATGGCTTCATTCAACTAGGAGAGCTGGCATGGCCCACGAGGCCGGAGTCCAACTGTCATTAGGAAGAACCAAAATGCCCCGGGTGGGGCCACTGGGAAACAGGCACGACTGCTCTCTGTTCTCCTCCACCTTCCTCGGTTTTCAGAGACACATGTGCAACAGGCCTGCTCTTGGCCCGCAGCAAGAGAAAGCAGGAAGGAGAAATTAGCCAGGAAGAAACGGCTGGGCAATCGAAGTGAAATTTCTGGGGCCTAAATATTTTTGGAAAATGCCTCTAAGCCTTATTTAGGTATAATCCTGCCGAATATCAGTGTGTGACATTTTTGGAGGCCTGTTAGTTACTGGGGAAGGAGGAGGAGAAGAGTGGCAATTTCTCAGATGCCAAGTGCAACTAGACACAGGGGCTCCTGTTTGTTCTATGCTGATGGTAAAAATGCGTCCTGGTAGTGTTAGAAAAAAAAAAGAAGAAGTTGCTTATCTAGCACAGTCTTCTCTGCACCAGAGCTTCTCAAATTTGAATGTGTATCAACATCAACTGGGGATCTGGTTGAGATGCAGATCGGGACTCGGCAGGTCTGCCCTGGGGCCTAGATTCTGCATTTCTCACTCACTCCCAGGCGGGACTGCTGGTGGTGTTGTCCAGGGTCGGAGCCGAGTGGCTTGGGCACACTGAGCAATACTGCTCTGGAGTTAATTGGTCCACCGAGAACAGAGGAGGAGCCCTTCCCACTGGTCTCCTGCTTTGCTCAGCTGCTGGAAGAGGACCAGACTGACTGCTATGAGCAATGCTCAAGGTCAAATATGAGCCTCAGACAGCTCTCAGTGACTGGCGCATAAAATGCACCCTACAGACCAGAAGAAATATGAAAAAATTTTAATTTTAATATGAAGGGGAAAAGATCATACCTGTTATATTAATGAGAGAATAAAAAGAAACAGACTACCAATGAGAACAGAATAGCGTGCATTAAGCAAGAGCCTTCTAAAGAACAATGGGCAATTATCCTCCGCGAGTAAGCAGGGCCCACGATCTCAGCAGATCCCCTACACAGAGCCCCAAGGAAGGCCACACACCTTTGCTGGGAAGAAAAGCAGAGGGCCTTTCCTGTTGCTTGCATCATTTTTCCTGCTCTGGTTTTATCTTGGAAGCCTTGGGATCGGAGAAATTTTCCCAGTTCATTTTCTTCTTGGGACAAGACTGATGAAGAAAAGACCAGAAAGAGCCATGAACAATGAGCATTTTTATTACAGCGAGAGAAGGAGAGGGACAAATCACAAGGTCCTCTCTCTTCTACAGTCAAAGACGAGGTGAAATTAAATCTGAGGGACAGGGTACGAGGTGCGCTCCCTGCCCGCCCCCACCCCGTTTAACTTTCACTCTGTTCTTCCCTTTACAAAAACGAGAGATCAAATTCACTTGAGTACATCTGTCCATGCGCTCGGTGCCCTGTAATTAGAACCAGAAAATGACCTCTGCACTGAAAAGCGAGCCGATAATGTGCTGCTTCGAGCTGAAATGAAAAAGTCGAGTTTGTCAAGGATGACTGTGGGAATGTTCTGAGGCTGCCTCTCATGGCGGGCTGGTTTCCTTCTGTTTTTCTCTCTTGCTGACTTTTTGATCCCTGCTTTCTGAGTTACATTCTACTTGATTATAAAGCAATTCAAACACCTTTTCCATGACCTGGGTTTTTGGTTGGTGGTAAGGGATGAGGAGTGAGGGTGGGTAGATTGATGGCTTGGTGGATTTTTTAAATGCACAGCTGGAACCACATCTGAATTGGTTATGCCTAATCTTGGTCTTATTTTTTAAAATGGATATATAATTGACATATACCATTATATTAATTTCAGGTATACAACATAATGATTTGATATTTATACTGGTCCTTATTTTTTAAAGATTTATTTATTTATTTATTTATAGAGAGAGGGGAAGGGAGGGAGAAAGAGAGGGAGAGAAACATCAGTGTGTGGTTGCCTCTCACATGCCCCCTACTGGGGACCTGGCTCAAAACCCAGGCATGTGCCCTGACTGGGAATTGAACTGGCAACCCTTTGGTTCACAGGCCAGCACTCAATCCACTGAGTCGAACCAGCCAGGGCTGTTGGTTCTGATTTTTAAAGACACCCTCAGATGGCACTATTGGTGAGACAGTGACAGGTACAAGCTTTCTGCAGACTGATCTGGCAGTAAGTACAAATGTCTCTTTGACATTGCACTTCTGTTAGAAACACATCGTAAGGAAGTAGCAAAACGAGCACAGAATGGTGTACGCAGAGATAATCACACCATCATCACAACAGCAAAACGCTCTTTCCCCCTGTAAAAGAGACGGCTTCATCAAATGCAACTGCGCATCCGGAAGGCACACTCACTGGTGGCCAAGTAAGGGGTGACATTGAGCTTCCTGGAATGTGGTATTTTCCTTAAACACAGGATTTGCTATGGACCTACTCAGAATACAACTACTCTATTTCACACTTCTGTGTTGTTTTTATACATCATGTGTCTATAAAATTGCCTTTTAAAATTTATTATTTTTTTTTTAGAGAGGGGGAAGAGAGGGAGAAGAGAGGTACTGATTGATGTGAGAGACACATCGATTGGTTGGCTCTCATACACACCCCCACAGGGGACCAAACTTGCAACCTAGGCATGTGCCCTGACCGGGAATTGAACCCATGACTTTTCAGTTCATAGGACGATGCTCTGTACAACTGAGCTACACTGGTCAGCCCCAAAACTGTTTTTTAAATGTTTGTTTTCATGAACCATCCAGGCTTTTTTGAGAATGCACCTGTTCCTCATACAACCTCTGCAACAACGGCTATAGAATGTTAGCCAGGAACCACAAATCCAAAGTGAAGGTTAAACTCTCTACTTCTCCCCTCCCTCATTAATCTGTGACCATAGTTCACTCTGCACATTCCAGAGGAGAAGAGCTTTAAGAATCCACCCTTCCTGAGAGATGAAGGACTGACCATGCGCCTTCTTCTGTCTCTCAAAATCAAGTTCATTGGTCAAAGTCCAGCTCAACAGCTACTTCTTCTGTGAAGTCGTTAATCCCTATTTCTGTATGACAGCAGTGTCCTCCGAGCATCCGATATTAAAGTTTTTCCACTGAGACTGTAAGCTTTCTCAGGACAGAGGCCTCATGCAGACTATGGATGCCCCAGGCGAATGCTTGTGACACTGAATTAATTGTAACTTTTTTATTGTTATCCCTGTGCACTTTGTTTCACTTTAAATGCTTATTTGATATTTATGCCATGGTTCTATGTAACTTTAAAAAGCTGCTATGATTATAAGAAGTATTTTTAATAATCCATTTCATTCCTCTTCTCTTCACTTACTAGTGGGAGATTCACTCAATCCCACAGCGAATCGGTCCCATGGGCAGCAAGCTCACATTTTTGTTCGTAACAGCACAAGGCTACCATTGCCTTTTTTACCTTGAAGCCTCAAGTCACACACAAATGAATACATTCAGCTTAAGGGTAGGAAGAAACCCGTTCATGGAACCTGAATGATTACATGAAATACACTCTTTCCTAAATAAGCCTAAGTAAGTTGAAGCATTTGAAAAATTGTTTTTGATGACTTTGTGCACTTAAGGATTGAACTTGGGTGGGGGTGGGGGAGTAAACAGGTTTCAGTTTAAGAGCTAGACTCCGATTAATTGGTAGTGCTGCTTGCTCAGAGGGCGATGGGAAGAATCTGAGCTGATGGCTTAGTGATGGCCCTCATTTTCTGAGATGTTCATTTCTTAATGTTAATTTAAAAAAATAAGACACTGAAATTAATTGATAGACACTTAAAATTCTTCTAAGGCTGATTTACACTGATAAGTTTATACTGATAAGTTTTCACTTTATTGGTATTTAACAATTCAGAGACAAATAAAAACCTATTCACATTTAATTGCAGATTAGATTTTCAGATGTACCCCCAAAAGGCAACTAAAGAACTATAAAAGCAATTAGCCAGGCAGCATTAATTCACTCAGCAGAGAGTGAATTAATTTATAGATGTGTGAGGTACCTGCTTTAATGAGGCTTACATTCAAGAAGCAGGAGATAGAAAATTTAAAAAGTACATAATCACAAATTCAATCAGAGAGTAAGAAGAATTAGTAGATGCTTTTGACTGGCTGCCAAGGAAGGTATATGGGAGCAGGTGACCAGCAAGGTGGGCTCCGTCTGACAGGAAGGGGCCACTCTTGAGACATCAGGGCAGGGACACTCCACAGAGCGGAAACAGGGAGGGCAAAAGGCCTCAGGGCCCACGGTGGGCTAAGGACCGGAGGTGTGAGCTGGGCCGGTCACTCGAGAATTTATAAGCCATGGTATGAGGTTTGGATCTTATTATAAGTGCTACTGGGGGCTTCTCAGCAGAAAATGAACATGTTCCAATGCGCATTTTAAAAAACTTTTTAATTTTGAAATAATTTGGGGCTTATAGAAAAACTCCAAGTGGACAGCAGAGTTCCTGACCCCCTCTGTCCTCTTCCCCTATGTCAGCACCGGACAGCAGGAGGTGCAAGGATGGCAAAGAGGAAACGAACCTCGGGCCAGGCTGCTGGCCGAACCATGGCCCGATCTGCACCTCCCTAGGGTCCCCATTAATGTCATTTCTCTGATCCAGGGTCCAGTCCTGGATCCCACGTGGCACCAACATGTCAAGTCCCTCTAGGCTCCTCCAACCTGTGACAATTCTCGTTCCTGTCTTTCATGACCCGGGCGCCCTTTAAAAGTACCTGTCATGTATTGTGCAGAATCTCCCTCAATAAACCTTTGTCCAGTTTCTCAGATCAGACTGGGTTACAGGTGTGTAGGCGACGAGCCACACAGGTGGAGGGCGTGGGGTTGGGGCTGCCAGCCATCAACACCCATCTTCGCTGGTGAGGCTCAGCTTGGTCACTTCTTCCTGTGCTGTCTACTGGGTTTCTCTACTTAAATGTAAGGTTTTTCCCTTTTATAATGATTGAAATCTTGAAGGGAATACACAAGACTACATGAACATCCAGTTTCTCCTCAGACTTCCATTCATGAATTATACCGTCTTCCAGTGTATCCTGCCACAATTCTCACTGTGGAGCTTGCCCCGTATGATTTTGTGGCTCCCTCCTTCTCTCCGTATTTATTAATTGGAATTATTTTATCAGGAAGAGCTAGCTCTCCTCCTCATTTGTTTATTTACACTTAGACTTTACGGATAATCATTTTACTTTACGGGTTCTAATCATCCAACACAGTCATTATTTATTTTGTTGCTCACACTGTCCAGCTCTGACCCCTGGAAGCTCCAGGAGAGGGACCCCATCGCTCTCTGACTGCAGTGGAGACCTCAGGCTGGAGGGGGCAGGGCTGCAGGCAGGGACGCCAGTGAGGCCTGCGATGCGGCACCCAGAGAGAGCGATGCTGGTGGCCTGAGCTAGGCTCGGGGCAGTGAAGGTACAGGTGGGAAGGAGAATCTGAAGGCTGTTGAGGTGACAAAATGGACCTGTAACTGAGACTGACGGGATGTGGACAGAGAAGTGGGGGGGGGGGCGTGTGCCTCACGTATCTTGACTTCCTTGCTGCTCAAGGATACGGAGTTACAGCCCTGGAACAGTCCTAACTCCAACACTTAGTAAATGGCCATACAGACAATCTACAGAGTTCTGTCTGTCAGTCCTAGGATTTCGTGCTTATCCCCAAATAGTCTTAATGAAAGATTACTAATGAAGGAAAGTGACCGACTGTTAATTCATGATTGTTGGAAAGGGGTCTGGCAGCAGCCAGAAACAAAAATCTTCCCATTTAGTATCAGAAATACAGAAATCATGCTATTAAATCACCTACAAAAACCAAACCAAAACAAACCAGAACAAAAAACCAACCCAGACTAAGGTACCACTTGATAGTTAGCATTTCAGAGATAACTTTGTTGGTAGTGATTTGAAGACAGGATCACCATGGAAAAGCCTTCTTCCCTAATAACCCAACATCCAACAGAAAGATGTTGAGGAAGCGCTAACCCTAAAACATTGTCCATGAATTAACCGTATGTGCCTTTTCTCCCCATTTGGCCATTTTAGAAAAAGCAACATTAGACAGAAGAGAGCCAGGGCAATTAATTTTTTTTTAAATCCCCAAATATAAAAATCGAGAAAACTTTTTTAGAGTTAGAAAAATAAATGCATGTACTTAATCAGGGGAGACCCAATACAAAGTTCTTCCATTACAGTACTTGCCTTGAAAGGAAAACGGCCTACATAAAGGATTCCTGATACAAATTATTCAAGATCCTCCTCCCCACCCCTTACAGAGCAAAGACAGACACTTCTAACTAGCAGTTTCTTTGTCTTACTTCCTAAACACATGCAATGACTCAGTGAGACAAAATATCCTATTTCTTACTAACTGATCAATATCCATACTTATGGTATACTTACAACATATTCTCTTTTGATAGAGTACAATTGCTTTAGACAAGTCCAAACAGGTTCTCTGAATTGAGTGAAACAGCTGTAATAAAAATACAAACAAACTGCTAAATGAAACAGGCAGAAGTGAAATAAGTAAGTACACTGAACATAACAGCAGCATTTGATTTGCCCACTAAAAACAAGGTCGCATGCTAAGTGTGCTTGGTGTTACGTGGTGTACTGCGCAGGAACTGCGAGCGAAGCCTTCTAATACGCTCTCGTATTGCTCTGTATTTATTGGAATTCATCATCTCTGCAATCTAAATTAAGATCTGCAGGGCAACGATTTCCTCCAGACAATTGAAATAATAGCTGAAAAACAGAAATCCTAAGTGAAGGGCCAAATTAGAGGACTCGGTAAACCAGAGACCCAATATTCATTCATAATCTAATTTATTTCTTCTACCATTTGCCATCTTCTTTTTTTAATGGAGAATCTGTCAATTAAGTATCATATTTAAAACATGAAATTAGCTTAGTTTATGATCCTAATGTCTTTTAGGGCATGCTAAAACAACTCCATAAAAAGCAAACAAAAATCAATCAGCTGAATGTTTGTGTGTTCAGAAGACGTCTGGAGAATGGAGTTCACCTAGCAGCCCCATTACTCCTTATTTTTCCAATGATTTCATCAAGTGCACAGAGAGGAAACCTAATGTCATGCCACAGCCATCACAGAGGGACTTTAGGGAAAAGCAGGGGGGCTATACTCTTAACTCATGGTGGACCTGGTCTCTGCGTCAGAAACTGAGACAGCTCAAGAAAAGACAAAACAGATACTTCATGCTTTCTCCACCAGGTCAGAGGCCAGGGCTATTCAATCAGGAAACCTGGAAGACAAGATTCTGCCTCTGAGGAGTGACCCTATGTACCAAGGCAAAAGGCTTCCTTTTCTCCCGCTCCAAGCTTCCTGGTCCTGGTGACATAGCAGTCGCGTCCTGGTGTTAGAAAGTACTTCGCTATTTAGGTCAAAAGAGATGATCTTCTTCATAATACAACTGAGCAAGTTAATAAAAAGGGAGGCTTATGTCTATACTTAAAAGACTAAAACTATTCCCAGGATTGCTTCCTATCATAAAACTTGCACACAAAGCATATAAACTTCAGTAAATGTCACTTCATTATAATATATCCTCTACCTGTTTGGAAAAGGAAAATAAAAACACTCATTTGCCATAAAGCAGAATAGTAAATCAGCATTCTGAATCTGTTCCATCACAAATGCTTGGTATCAATATTCTGGGTCAGAAACCACCAACACAAGGAAATTCAAAAAATGTGTTCAGGATCTTATCTTTTGTTACTGCTCACTTTTTAAAAACTGAGGTACAGATTAAATGCAATAGAAGGCACAGCTCTGCAGTGTTCGTTCTGTGAGTTTCACACCTGTGCACACTCTGGTAACCACACCCAAAATAAGATAAGAAACCTTTCCACCACCTGGCCTGTCTCCTCTGCCGTGGCACCTAGAAGACTTAATTTAACTAAGTCTTGCTAGTCGGGTTAGTTTTGCTTGTGCTTGTACTTAAGAGCTATTTTTGAGAAAATTATTTTATTAACAAGAAGTGTGAACAAATAGTTAAACTCAGTGCGACATTTCTACATTGACTTCCAAAAAGTATGTGATGAAATTCAACCATTATTTTAGCTCGGCACATAGCTTTCTGTGCCCACAGAATACAAATTCTTATTTTATAGGCTTGCCTTGTGTGGATAACAGTGTAAAACCACATCAAAATGGTCTGCACACTGTTTTCATATGTTTGATTGATGGAATCCAGCCTCTCTATAAATATCAACATCAGTACTAACATTTCTGCAACAGAAACCTCTATCATGTGTACAATTATTAGTCACAGCTAAGTTCTTTGGATGTTCTGCGCCTAGGACAGCAGCTGTTTTGATTAAACTATAGTTGATTCAGTAAAAATGCTGCTACAAGAGTCTAAATATAAATGTAAATTTTCTGTATTGTGTTTAACATACTAATAATTAACATATGACATTCCTTTTTGAATGAGGCTTGTATTTACTAGGGTGTTAAGAGAAACATAAAGCTGCAAGATGTGAAAAGCAAAAGCAACTTACAATCATTTCAACTATATTTAGAATACAAAAATCTAAATAGATGCCTTTGGGTGGTACTTTTCTCTATTGGAGCAATCTCCATTAGAACTTCCCTGTCAAACATCCAGCTTCTGTTTGGACAATTCTAGAAACAGGGCACAGCTGGGAACTAATGTTAATTGCATTAACATGTACACTTGTTTGGTTAATAGTTTGGGAATGTGTACTGTGGGACTGGCTGAAGATATAATGGTGAACAGGCTGACATGGAATTTGACCTCCTGGTAGAGGAAGGAGAGGCAAACAACCGACACGAGAGTTTTCATGAGAGATGAGCACCCTGAATGGTGGTCCTGAGTCTGCTTCTACCCTCAGATGCACAGAATGGACTACCTTCCTCTACATGACAGAGCTTCCTGTACAATTGACAACCAACCTCTCTTCCCCTAACCCTCTCTCTCTGTTGCAATCCAGCCATGGGTTCCACCATCCCGGCCACCTTTCTCAGAAAGCTTTTGGAAATCTTGAGCTTTTTGTTTTAGTCTCATTAAATGTTTGGCTTATTAATTTTAGCTCATATATTAAACCAGGAGATCACATTGAATTCTTTTCAGTTCCTATAGCATCTTTTTCCTCCCAGGGCCCTGTCTTTCCCAGAGGTAAGCTTTATAATTTTCATCTAAACTATTGGCAGAATATCTAGGAAGACACAGGGTTAGTGGACCTTCTACCAGTTATATTGGTATTCCAGGGTCAGCTGGATATGAATTCAGTTTACTGGATTATTAACTAGTCTAACTAAGTATCTGCTCAGTTAATTCATTCTAGAATTTTCCAGGCTGGAGCACCAAGCTCACCAGACTCCACTTTCCAGGATCTCGTGCTGTCATCCTTTTTTCTTTTTCTAAATGTGAACATTTGCCAGACCCTAGTGTTGATATCACTAGTGGTGGTGCTTTAATTGTATTCATGTTTTTCAACATTTACTGAGAACTGACCACAAGCCATGCATTTCAACTAAGTGCAAAACACAAAAACATTTAATGGACCCATGTGGATAGTTACATGAGAATTTTTAGGTTTTAATATATATACATTTATATAGGCTGGGATTGAAATGATCTGGTCCTAGATTTTCCTCATGAACTGGGTATTCACAATCGATTTTCAGATGTAAAGCCCTCCTAGGCCTGCCCAGCTGAGTCTGCTCCAGGTCCATGACCCCAGCAAGGCGGCTGTGCAGGGGCAGAGGGAAATCGGGGGCTCACCTCCAGCTTAGCATCCAGGTCTGCGTCAGAGGCCACCACGTGCTCGTCTTCCTTCTTCCCGGTGGCTTTGATGAAGGCCTGCTTCGTCTCCCAGTACTTCTGCTGCATCTTATTCACAACGGACTTGTCCTGAGCATAGCGATCCTGTAAGTCCCAGGGGTAGCTGCTGAAAACATTTCAAGAGCTATTTTATTCATGACTTTCATAATGACTGCGATATTCCAGTGTAAACAAACTTACCTAAACATTATATTATACATTTACAACATTAATCAACATATAAATACTTTCTTTTGTGGTTATTACACCAAAAAAAAGCTAATGGACTCTGACTCCAAAACCTTAAAAGTTAATAAAGAAATAAAACAACTTTTGCAGGAAATCAAGAAACTTGGCCTTGAAGAGAGTTTAGATATCAACAGGCAGGACACACCCCTTTTAGAAGTGGGGAGAGTGAGGCCCCACCAGGCAGGGTGACTGGCTCAAGTCACCAGTGAGCCAGAGACAAAGCTGGACACCAGAGTCTCCACGGGTCTCTCCGCCCCTGAAGTAATGGCAGAAAAGCTGAGATAAAGGACTGAAAAACAGCATGCTTCAAACGTGTCACAGAGGTATCTAAAAATAGTCAAGCTCATAGAATCAGAGTGTAGACTGCTGGCAACCAGGGTCTGGGTGGGTGAGGGGGAAATGGGAAAATGCTCATCAATGGTCATAAAGTTTCAATCACGCCTGATGAACAAATTCCTGAGATACAGTGCCTAGATTTAACAATACTGCATTGTACACTTAAAAAATTGTTAAGAGGGGAGACTTCTTACCAAGCCAAATAAAATTTAAAAACATTAAAAAAATCTGTTATAGATTTCTGACATTAAAACTTTAATTTCTTAGATATAAATGCTTCAAATACTTTACATTCTTCAGGAAGAACATAGTGAAGATCACATCAAAAAGCATGTAAGAAGAAATCAGAAAAAGGTTGAGAATGAAATGGAATTCTGTAAAGTGACCAGAGTACCTCAAATACTGACGTGCAGGAAGTCTGCCCCTGGTGCTCCATCCTGCCCCTTATTGTTTACAACCCTCCTCCCGCCCAGATCCCTGCTCCAGAGGCCCACACGCCTGTCCTACACACACGTCATGTTCCACCCGAGCTCCTGCCACTCAAAGTGTGCCAGGCTTGGGTCCCAAACCATGAGTTGCTTTATACTGCCATATCAGAATACCTGTGTCTCCAAACCTGATGACTGCCAACCTCCTTTCAGATAACATGGACAGTTTTCAATTCCCATTTTTACTCTTAAAAAGTCATGAGGGATTTCAGATGACTTTCTTAGCAACAGTTATCTTTGGAAGAGAGAAATAGAACTGGAGGGACTTTTATGGTTTCTGCATTACTTAGAAGTTCTAGTAAGAACTTATATAATAAAAATAAGATGAAAATATCCATAATTTTTATGTAAAAGATAATCTTTCTCTAGAGATTGTACCTTAATAGACTGGAAGGATATACTCCAATCCCCAAACTGGGGTAATTTCAGGGGAATTAAGTGGACTTCTTTGTATTGTTATCTTTTTATTTTCTTCCAAAGGTCATGGATTAACAGAAAAAAAAATTGCTTTTTGAAAAAAACAAAAGGGACTTCACAGATCTAGCAAAAACGAATGTTTCAATCCCACCCTTGGTCATTCAACAAATGAGAAAACTTAGGTTTGAAAAGGTTAAGAATCTTGTCTAGAGTTACACAGGACTAAAATCTAGGCCCCCGAACCCCAGTCCAGGGCTCCGGACAAGGGTTCTGCAGCCCTTGTATTTCAGCAGCACATAACCAAGTGGCCAAATAAGTGGGAAAAGGCTGGAGAACAGCCCACTTCTTGGGCTCTCCAATCTGTCACACACAAGTGACTACCTACTTCCCAGAGCCGCTGCTGATATGACAGCCATTAGAGGGTCACAGGATGCAACCAACCCCTTGTCTTAATGAGGCAAGGTGGAATAATTAAAAAAAAACAGTATGACAACCCTTAGTTAGAAAGCTGTCAAACGGCAATGCTCAGGGAAACGAAATCCCTTAGCTATTTATTAATTACCTTTTAAAACTCTCTACTGAGAGAGGGGGGATTAAAAAGTATATTCTTTGTCATAATTAATTGTGCATTTGATAATAAAAATATGCACCCTGTTTTTCATGATACAAATTAAAGGCGGTAAAATGTGACAAAGATCTGCTTTCCTGATGGGATAAAAGTTCAAAAGGGTTCAGAACCACTGCTTGAAACAGATCTGGAATTTATAAGATGTTAACCATGCTGCTTAGATGTGTTATAGGCACATAAACGTCGGTGCTAACATTGCCATGTGATTACCACATGTGCTTTATTCATCATCATTAATTTCAACAGTGATTGGCTCTTTTTTTTTAAGAGCTTATTTATTTTAGAGAGGGGAAGGGAGGGAGAAAGAGAAACATCAATGTGTTGTTGCCTCTCATGCACCCCTTACTGAGGACCTGGCCTGCAACCCAGGCATGTGTCCTAGATTGGGAATTGAACCAGTAACCCTTTGATTCACAGGCAACCACTCAATCCACTGAGCTACACCAGCCAGGGCTCAACAAGTCATTAATAAGTCTGAGTTTGCGTTCACTCATTATTTTATCACTTCCCTACATAAAATTATCTTAATATAATTCTAATATTATAAATTGTAAATAAGATAGTGATAAAAACTGTATCAACTCACTATATTTAAAGAAATGGTGGTAAGAAAAGCCAACATTTGCTTTTGAAGAGAAAAGCCAATAAAAATAAATTTCTTAGAGAATACTCCCTAGATAAAAACTTACACTTTGGGGTACTTCGTTTCCATATTACATTTAATAGGGATATTGAACTTGACTATATGCAACACTGGATAGGGACTAACAGGTTATTCATTGCTAATGTGATTCTTCATTTTTCTATTCAACATTTATTGAACATATACCACATGCTTTCTGCTTTGATTAGCCTCCCCCAATTCAGAAAAGATAGCAAATTTCTTACCATTTGTGTCCTGACATGTTTTCTCCTTCTTTTTCTATTGATGACTTGGGGAGAAGGGGCAGGGAAAAAGCATGAGAGGATAAGCTATATTATAACCTGAAATAAAAACACATACATTTAACAGTCACACACTATGTTACAATGGTGGGCGAATGTGACACATAGAAATCCCAATCTAAGGCATGTCTGATTGTATTCTAGTGGCCCAACACTACTATACAGTAACACTGCACACTGGTGTCAATAATAGTTTAGCTAAGTAACACTGGAAGAATATCCCAAATGAAATGGAAGAAATGAACAAGCAGGTTGAATGAAAAAGGAAGGTAGTAGAAGATTATATAAAATAATACCATAACATACAGAGCAATGCTATATATATTAAAGTATAGAAATATTATGTAGTGAAGGTGTAAAGAATTGCTTAGGAACGATGAACACCAAATTCCAGGTAACAGTTACCACTGCACTGGGGGGTGGGAGTATCATTTGAGAGGTATATGCAGGGACTTCAACTGTACCTGCAGTGTTCTCTCTGTTCAATTAGGCAGTGAGTGCATTGCATCGGTATGCTTTAGAAATTTGACATATTTCATAATCAGTAAATCTAAAAAATGAGCCAGTGCATTGCAAAAACAGAAAAAGAGTTGATTGGCTACAATGAGATACCAAGAATGGGTAAAAAGGAAGAAAATGTGTTTATTTCAGTTTTCGTCAGCCTAACATTTTGTTTTCATCTCATTCGTACATATGGGAGTCACTTGATGTCTCTGCCTCTCACCCCATTTGCCCCATTCACAGAAGCTGCTAGCCAACCAAGAGGGAGGGGCAGAACCACCAAACCCAGCCACACTCCCTGCCACTCTTTACTGGAAAGAGTGGTGAGCTCACTACTTAAAGAGATGGCCTCTGGCCAGACACAGAGTGCTGGCTGCCACAGCAAATGCTCCATGTGAGTGCTTCTGGCTACTCCAACAAAATCAATGCAATCATCTCCTTTTGCCTTAGAAAGGGTCCTAGCAAAGGGTCCTTTCAAAAATGTGTTAAGGGAACTAAATTAAGGTGTTGAAATTCCAAGCTTCTTTCTTAGAGTGTCCAGATGCCGCTGGAATGACAGCATCCTGTAATCGTCATCTCTCCTCCTGGAGAGCATTCAGGTTTTTGGACCATTTGCTTTGGAAATGACATTCATGATGACTAAGCCTTGTCCTCTGCTCAGTAAATCGTGGGAGGCCACCAACCACCCACACAGCTTCACAGCAAGTACACATTTGCTTTACTGAGCTCAAAATTTCTAACAAAATTTTTCATTAAAAGATATTGTTCAAGGAAATGAAATTATTATACTCTTGTCCTGAGTTTGACATCACCGAGAACTATTAGGATAGTTAGTGCTTTCTTTTTTTAAACATATGTTTTATTGATTATGCTATTACAGTTGTCCTACTTTTATTCCCCTTTATTCCCCTCCACACTGTAGCACCCCTCCCACCAGCATTCCCCTCTGCTCTCTTAGGTCATGTCTATGGGTCACACATATAAGTTCTTTGGCTTCTCCATTTCCCACACCATTCTTACCATCCCCCTGCCTATTTTGTACCTACTATTTATGCTTCTTATTCCCTGTACCTTTCCCCCCCACCCCTCCCCCACCCCACTGATAACTTTTCAATGAACTCTATTTCTGTGATTTTGTTCCTGTTCTAGTTGTTTGCTTTTTTTTTAGGTTCAGTTGTTGATAGTTGTGTTTGTTGTCATTTTACTATTCATAGTTTTGATCTTCTTTTTCTTAGATAAGCCCCTTTAATATTTCATATAATAAGCGCTTGATGATGATGAACTCCTTAAATTGGACCTTATCTGGGAAGCCCTTTTCTGCCCTTCCATTTTAAATGATAACTTTGCTGGATAGAATCATCTTGAATATAGGTCTTTGCCTTTTGTGACTTTGAATACTTCTTTCCCGACCCTTCTTGCCTGCAAGGTTTCTTCTGAAAACTCAGCTGTTACTCTTATAGGAACTCCTTTGTAGTTAACTGTCTCCTTTTGCCATACTGCTTTTAAGATTCTCTCCTTATCTTTAATCTTGTGTAATGTAATTATGATGTGCCTTGGTATGTGCCTTCTTAGGTCCACTTCTTTGGGATTCTCTAATCGTCTTGGACTTCCTGGAAGTCTATTTCCTTTGTCAGATTGGGGAAGTTCTCCTTCATTATTTTTTCAAATAAGTTTTCAATTTCTTGTTCTTCCTCTTCTCCTAGCACCCCTATGATTTGAATGTTGGAGTGCTTAAAGTTGTCCTGGAGGTTCCTAAGCCTCTCCTCATGTTTTTGAATTCTTGTTTCTTCATTCTGTTCTGGTTGAATGTTTATTTCTTCCTTCTGCTCCAAACCATTGATTTGAGTCCCGGTTTCTTTCTTGTCACTATTGGTTTCCTGTACGTTTTCCTACATTTCATTTTTCATACTTTCACTTTTTCCTCTACTTTGCGACTAAACTCAACCAATTCTGTGAGCATCCTGATTACCAGTGTTTTGAACTGTGCATTTGATAGGTTGGCTACCTCTTCATTTCTTAGTTCTGTCTTTTGGAGCTTTGACCTGTTCTTTCATTTGGTCCATATATATTTTTTGTCTTGGCACAGCTATTACATTGCACAGAGCCTTAGGTATTCACCAGGACAGGGCAACCCATGTAGCTGCACTGTGGTGCTGCTGGAGGGGGGAGGGGCCCTAGAGGGAACAATACTACTTGCTTGGCTCTCTACTGGCTTTCAGTCACTTCTCCCACTTCCCACAAGCCAATTGGGCCCTTCTGGTGCCGATTCCTGGGGAGGTGGGTTTGTGTACATTCTAGGACCCTGTGGGTCTCTCCAATGGACTCCCCTGTAAGGCTGTGAGTTTGTCTTGCCACTGCATCCCTGGGTTGCACAGTCTGTCTTGCTCCCCAGTTGTTCCTCCCAGTTTATCTGCATGCAAATGTGGGACTGCCCGGTCCCCCAGCCCCCACCTTGCCTAGTATGCCAGCTGCCACCTCACCTGCTTGGTCCTCTACTGCTGCCTTGCTGCACATCCCCTCCAACCAGCTGCCCATCTCCACCCCTCCTACTTGTCTGGATGAATGTTTCTTTAACTTCTCGGTTGTCAGATTTCCATACAGCTTGCTTTTCTGGAAGTTCTGGTTATTTTTTGTTTTTAAATTTGTTGTTGCTCTTGTTTTGGTTGTGGGAGGAGGTGAAATGAATCTACCTATGCTTCCATTTTGGCCAGAAGTCCAGGATTATTCATACTTTCTGATTCATGCTTTTACTGTAGTAAAAAAATTAACATATTTATTCTCTTAACAATTTTTAAGTGAATAGTACAGTACTGTTATATTTAACATTGTTGTACAACAGACCTCCAGAACATATTCATCTTGCATGACTGAAACTTTATACCCACTGAGCAACTTCCCATTTTCTCTTCCCCCAACCCCTAGCAACCACCATTTCACTTTATCTTTCTGAGTTTGGCTATCTTAGATACTTCATGTAAGTGGAATCATGCATCATTTGTCTTATGATTAGTTTATTTCACTTAGAACAATGACCTGAAGGTTTGTACATGCTGTAACATAGGACAGGTTTTCTGTCTTTTTTAAGGCTGAATAATATTCCATTGTACATGTATGTAGCACATTTTTTCAATCCATTCTTCCATTGATGGACACTTAGATTGCTTACACATCTTGGCCTTTGTGAATAATAATGCAATAAACATAAATATAAAAATATCTCTTCAAGATTCTGTTTTTATTTTTTTAGGGTATTATCCCCAGAAGTGAAATTGCTAGCTCTATTTTTTATTTTGTGAGAAACCTTCATATTTTTTTAACAGTGACTGCACCATTTTACATTCCCACCCACAGTGCTTCAAGGGTTCTAATTCCTTCACATCTTTCACCAACACTTGTTATTTTCTGGAATTTTTTTATAGCAGTCATCCTAATGGGCGTGAGGTGATATGTCATCGTGGTTTTGATTTGCATTACCCTGAGCATTAATGAAGGTGAGCATCTTTTCATATGCTTATTTTCCATTTGCATATTTTCTTTGGAAAAATGTCTAATCAAGTCCTTTGCCTATTTTCTAATTGGGTAATTTTCTTGTTATTCCATTGTAGGAGTTCTGAATATTCTGGATATTAACCCTTCATTTGATATATGGTTTGAAAATATTTTCTCCCATTCAGTAAGTTGCCTTTTAACTGTTGACTATTATATTTGCTGCAACCTTTTGATAAATCTCTGATCATTAAAGTATTTAACAATTTATCTGCAGTAAAATAGATACCAAAATCACTGAGCAAACTGTCCCTTCTACCTGGACTTCCAAGCTACTTCCGGGTTATGATGCCACAGGGCAGTGTTCCTCCAGGCACGGTTTCCAGGCCACTTGCACCCGAGTCTTCTGGGATGTCAGCATGCAGATCCCTGGGCCGCACCCCTCACCTACTGAACTGGAATCTGGGAATGTGTCTGGGAGCCTGCATTTCTAATGGCCGTTGCAAGGGACTTTTAAACACATTATAGCCTGAGCGCCACAGCTAAATGGCACCTAGAAAAAATTTTCTGGAAATGAATTTTGTCTTGAAAAAAGTGCTGGATTATATGCAACTTGAGCAAATGGGCCTTTTGGTTCTCAGGTCGGCACTCAATCCACTGAGCCGCACCAGCCAGGGCCCTTTTGCACATCCTAATCCCCTTTCCTTTTTACCCAGCTGGCCAACCCCCTCCCACCTTGCAACTACATGTCTGTTCTCTGTAGCTATGAGTTTGTTTCTGTTTTGTTTATTTTGTGTTTTAGATTCCACGTATAAGTGAAACCAAATGGTGTTTGTCTTTCTCTGACTTATTTCACTTAGCATAATACCCTCTAGGACAATCCACGCTGTCCAAATGGTAAGAGTCCATTCGATTGTACGACCGAGTAATATTCTGTTGTATATACATATCACCTCTTCTTTATCTCACTATCTATAGATGGATGCCTAGTGTACTTCATATTTTGGCTGTTGTAAAGAATGATCCAATGAACATAGAATGTATGTATCTTT